TGGAGCTTGCTGGGCTCTGCATACAGCAATGGTCATGTCTCCACCCACCTTTAATAGTATGCAAGCACATGTGGGTGGAGCCTGCTGAGCCCCTCCTACAGCTCTTGTCTCCAGCCCTCCTGCACTTTTCTGCAGGCAACCTTTTAGTGGGTGGAGACTGATGGGCCCCTCCCATAGCTTTATTCTAGTCTCCGCCCCCTCTTGTAGTGTTCTGCAGGCAGCTATTAGTGGGTGGAGCCTGATGGGCCCCTCCCATAGCTTTATTATGGTCTCCGCCCCCTCTTGTAGTGTTCTGCAGGCAGCCATTAGTGGGTGGAGCCTGATGTGCTCCTCCCATAGATTTATTCTAGTCTCCGCCCCCTCTTGTAGTGTTCTGCAGGCAGCTATTAGTGGGTGGAGCCTGATGGGCCCCTCCCATAGTTTTATTCTAGTCTCTGCCCCTCCTGCAGAGTTCTGCAGGCAACCATTAGTGGGTGGAGCCTGATGGGCCCCTCCCATAGCTTTATTATAGTCTCCGCCCCCTCTTGTAGTGTTCTGCAGGCAGCCATTAGTGGGTGGAGCCTGATGGGCTCCTCCCATAGATTTATTCTAGTTCTGCAGGCAGCCATTAGTGGGTGGAGCTGATGGCCCCTCCTATAGCTCCGCCCCTCCTGCAGAGTTCTGCAGGCAGCCATTAGTGGGTGGAGCCTGATGGGCCCCTCCCATAGTTTTATTCTAGTCTCTGCCCCCTCCTGCAGAGTTCTGCAGGCAGCCATTAGTGGGTGGAGCCTGATGGGCCCCTCCCATAGTTTTATTCTAGTCTCTGCCCCCTCCTGCAGAGTTCTGCAGGCAGCCATTAGCGGGTGGAGTCCGCTGGGCTCCGCCTTCAGCAATGGTCATATCTTCACCCTCATGAATGTTATGCAGGAACATGTGGGTGGAGCCTGCTGAGTCCCTCCTATAGTTTTGTTCTAGTCTTCGCCCCCTCCTGTAGTTTTCCATAGGCAGCCTGTAGTGGGTGGAATCTGCTGGGCCCCTCCTACAGCAGTGGCCATGTCTCCACCCCTTCCAGTAATGTTCTGCAGGCACATGTAGTGGGGGTGGAGCCTGCTGAATCCCTCCCACAGCTCTAATCTTGTCTCCGCCCCTCCCACACTTTTCTGCAGACCGGCTTTAGTGGGTGGGGCCTTTTTCCGGAACGCACCGGAACTGCAGGCGCTGATGTGAACTATGACACCGACAACCGTATCACCGACTTTCTGTGCATTTTGGATGCAGAAAAAAAAGCAACTGAAACGCATGGAGTGTGAACCGGCCCTTACTGCTCCTGCAACTTGGAGTTTGTTTACATGTTGCCTCTGATGTATCGACGTCTTAAAGGGTTAAAAATAAAAAGACGGAAAAAAAAATCGCTTGGTGACGGAAAATCTTTTTTTACGTTTTTGGAAAATCGGATTCTGGCGGTGGGGGCGGGGTTTTTCTTGTCGCTGTGGGCGGTTTATTCTTTAACTCGCTTGTTCTGTGAGCGGGAGATGGAAACTCTGAAAAATTTTGAGAAGATTTCCAGTTTGTGGTGGGTGGCATCATCATCATCGTCACCATGGAGATGTATAAATAGAATCCATAAATAAAGAACGCACCGCCGAGACCGTGCGAACATAACTTTTTGCTGAGTAATCAGCAGTGGAAAATCAGGGATGTCGTTGTATTATCACCTCTTGGCTGCGAGTAAGCTAGTGATCTCCGTACTGGTTGCTCTCTGGTTCCCAAAATCTCATTTAAATGCGGGGCTCTTTGACAATTTGGGGTGAACTTTAATAAAAATCGGCATAGCTATTCGCTGATGACCCTGTATGTGTGCATTCACCCTGGGAGAATAGAGAAAAAACAAATGCTCTTCAGCTACTTTCCCTTCTGGTTGAATGTTCAGATCTATGGCAAACATAGAGTGAATGGGGAAATACCAGATTATGGCCACTAGATGGAGCTGAGGATCTCTGGAAATAAATCCATTTTCATAGGAAGAGATACAATGTAACAATTCTAGAGAACACCGGAGGGAATTAACAAATAAATGGGGATCCAATAGTAGCAATGGTTACATTTATCAGCCGATTCCCTCCAGTGTTCTCTAGAATTGTTACATTGTATCTCTTCCTATGAAGATGGATTTATTTCCGGAGATCCTCAGCTCCATCTAGTGGCCATGGAGCGATATTTTCCCATTTCATTCTATGTTATGAATGAACCTAATAGCCACTAGATGGAGCTGAGGATCTCCGGAAATAAATACGTCTTATACAATGTAACAATTCTAGAAACACTGGAGGGAATTGGCAAATAATGGGTAACCATTGCTATAGTAGGAATGGTTATTCATTTATTTGCCAAATCCCTCGTGTTTCTAGAATTGTTACATTGTATAAGATGTATTTATTTCCCAAGATCCTCAGCTCCATCTAGTGCTATTAGGTTCAATCATAACATAGAATGAAATGGGAAAATACCACTCCATGGCCACTAGAGGAGCTGAGGATCTCTGGAAATAAATCCATCTTTGTAGGAAGAGATACAATGTAACAATTCTAGAGAACACTGGAGGGAATCGGCTGATAAATGTAACCATTGCTACTATTGGATCCCCATTCATTTAATTCCCTCCGGCGTTCTCTAGAATTGTTACATTGTATCTCTTCCTACAAAGATGGATTTATTTCCAGAGATCCTCAGCTCCCTCTAGTGGCCATGGAGGGGTATTTTCCCGTTTCATTCTATGTTATGAATGAACCTATAGCCACTAGATGGAGCTGAGGATCTTGGGAAATAAATACATGTTCTACAATGTAACAATTCTAGAGAACGCTGGAGGGCAGGGGCAGACTAACCATTTGGAAACTCGGCACTGCCCGAGGGCCCAGGGTCAGTAGGGGGCCCCATGAGATGCCCCTGGTACCTTTTTTTCATAGGCTTTTTTGAGTTTGGGCAAGGACACAGGGGCCCCATGATCTCCTATAGCCTGGGGGCCCCGTGAGTTGTCAGTCCACCCCTGCTGGAGGGAATTGGCAAATAAATATAACCGTTGCTACTATAGGATCTCTGCATATTTGCTAATTCCCTCCAGTGTTCTCTAGAATTGTTACATTGTATCTCTTCCTACTAAGATGTATTTATTTCCTGTGATCCTCAGCTCCATCTAGTGGTCATAATGCATGGTTCATTAGGTTCATTCATAGCTGAGGATCTCTGGAAATAAATCACATAGAATGAAATGGGGAAATTCTATCACTGGAGGGAATCGGCTGATGGCCACTAGATGGAGCTGAGGATCTCTGGAAATAAATCCATTTTACTAAGAAGAGATACAATGTAACAATTCTAGAGAACACTGGAGGGAATCGGCTGATAAATGTAACCATTGCTACTATTGGATCCCCATTCATTTACTTCCCTCCGGCGTTCTCTAGAATTGGAAATAAATCCATTTTACTATGAAGAGATACAATGTAACAATTCTAGAGAATGCCGGAAAGAATTGGTAAATAAACAGAGATCCTATAATAGCAATTGTTACATTTATTTGCCAATTCCCTCCAGTGTTCTCTAGAATTTTTACATTGTATCTCTTCTTAGTAAGATGGATTTATTTCCAATTCTAGAGAACGCCGGAGGGAATTAAATGAATGGGGATCCAATAGTAGCAATGGTTACATTTATCAGCCGATTCCCTCCAGTGTTCTCTAGAATTGTTACATTGTATCTCTTCTTACTAAGACGTATTTATTTCCCGGGATCCTCAGCTCCATCTAGTGGTCATAATCTGGTATTTTCCTAATTCAGACTATGTACAATATGAATGAGCCCGATGCATTGTGACCACTAGATGGAGCTGAGGATCACAGGAAATAAATCCATCTTAGTAGTAAGAGATACAATGTAACAATTCTAGAGAACACTGGAGGGAATTGGCTGATAAATGTAATCATTGCTACTATAGGATCTCTGTTTATTTGCTAATTCCCTCAAGCGTTCTCTAGAATTGTTACATTGTATCTCTTACTACTAAGATGTATTTATTTCCTATGTTCTTCAGTTCCATCTAGTGGTCATAATCTGGTATTTTCCTAATTCAGACTATGTACGATATGAATGAGCCCGATGCATTGTGACCACTAGATGGAGCTGAGGATCTCAGGAAATCCATCTTAGTAGGAAGAGATTCAATGTAACAATTCTAGAGAACACTGGAGGGAATTTGCTGATAAATTTAACCATTGCTACTATTGGATATCTTTTATTTGTGAATTCCCTCCAGTGTTCTCCAGAATTGTTACATTGTATCTCTTCCTACTAAGATGGATTTATTTCCTGTGATCCTTAGCTCCATCTAGTGGCCATACTGCATTAGGTTCATTCATAATCACATAGAATGAAACTGGGAAATACCACTCCATGGCCACTAGATGGAGCTGAGGATCTCAGGAAATAAATACGTCTTAGTAAGAAGAGATACAATGTAACAATTCTAGAGAACACTGGAGGGAATTAACAAATAAATGGGGATCCAATAGTAGCAATGGTTACATTTATCAGCCGATTCCCTCCAGTGTTCTCTAGAAATGTTACATTGTATCTCTTCCTACTAAGATGGATTTATTTCCTGTGATCCTCAGCTCCATCTAGTGGCCATGTTGCATTAGAGATCCAGCAGGAGATTTCTCCCCATTGAGATCTGATGGGTTTTCAGTCTTCCTTTTATTTTTTTGGAGCCGTGTACATCTTAGAAGAGATACAATGTAACAATTCTGGAGAACACTGGAGGGAATTGACAAATAAATATAACCACTGCTACTACAAGGTCCCATTTATGTGATACTTCCCTCCAGCGTTCTCCAGAATTGTTACATTGTATCTCTTCTTACTAAGATGTATTTATTTCCTATGAGCCTCGGCTCCATCTGGTGGCCATTATGTGGTAGTTGTGCTAAACAGGGTTGTGTTTCTGAACAAATCTCCCATCTTGCAGTGTTAACCCGGCTCCTGTGACCAGGCCTCTGGTCATCCCCCTCATACAGAAGAACAGGTGGTCCCTGCAAAGCAAGACCAAAGACGACTCTGAAAATGGCGGCCGGCGGCCGGAGGAGGACGCTGTTCTCTCACAAGCTGTGCAAGAGCTGATTGCAGGTACAGACATGGGGGCTTCCCCTTCTGTTATTGATGTATTGGGGGGGGGGGAGGAAGGGGAGGAGGAGGGGGGGGGGGGGGGTTATCTGACATCTTCCAGGGTGATCATGTATCTTCTCCTTAACATGCCTGATCCAGTCTTCTGCACCAGAACCGGCTGGACGCCATGTTTGCCTCCTAGAACAATGGAGGGGCAGCTGTAGTCTTTAAAGATGGCAAAGGACTCGTCTCCAGTATTACCTGTGGTCTCTCTGCAGCTGATCGTTCTGCATTGTGTGCAGGTGGCCATCTTGGTAGAGGCGGGGCTTTACTTCCTCATGTCAGAGCCTCCAGCAAGGAGAACAGTGAGCAGCACAGTAATGGCATCCCCAAAACTCACAAAGCTCGTCCGCACTGTTCTGCATTCTGTGGAGGTTGTCCATCTTGGTAGAGGCGGGGTTTTGCTTCCTTGAGTCAGAGCCTCCAGCAAGGAGAACAGTGAGCAGCACAGCAGTGACATCCCAAAATCTCACTAATCTTTTTCCCCATTGTCCTGCATTGTGTGGAGGTGGCCATCTTGGTAGAGGCAGGGCTTTGTTTCCTCATGTCAGAGCTGTCCTCCCCGGTGACTGGGGATCTGATGACTGGTGGAGAAATGATCAAGTAACAGCAGGTGTGTAGGAAGCATGAATCCACAGAATTAATGAAGTAAAAGCACTGAGATCCTTGCACTGCTGGTCATCAGGTACAGTTTCCCCTCCAGCAAGGAGAACAGTGAGCAGCACAGCAGTGACATCCCAAAATCTCACTAATCTTTTCCCCCATTGTCCTGCATTGTGTGGAGGTGGCCATCTTGGTAGAGGCAGGGCTTTGCTTCCTCATGTCAGAGCCTCCAGCAAGGAGCACAGTGAGAAGCGCAGTAACGGCATCCCCAAAACTCACAAATCTTGTCCGCACTGTTCTGCATTCTGTGGAGCTTGGCCATCTTGGTAGAGGCGGGGTTTTGCTTCCTTGAGTCAGAGCCTCCAGCAAGGAGAACAGTGAGCAGCACAGCAGTGACATCCCAAAATCTCACTAATCTTTTTCCCCATTGTCCTGCATTGTGTGGAGGTGGCCATCTTGGTAGAGGCAGGGCTTTGCTTCCTCATGTCAGAGCTGTTCTCCCCGATGACTGGTGATCTGATGACTGGTGGAGAAATGATCAAGTAACAGCAGGTGTGTAGGAAGCATGAATCCACAGAATTAATGAAGTAGAAGCACTGAGATCCTTGCACTGCTGGTCATCAGGTACAGTTTCCCCTACACTACATTACCGGCTTTCTTCTTTTACCAGCCTCAGAGGCAGCTGTTCTCAGTCCTCCAGTAGCGCGCGGTTCCCCGCCGACCCCTCCTGTCCTTCCCAATTGATGTCACATACAAGCACCTGGGATGGCCAGGAGGGGAGGAGGGGCCGGTGGGGGACAGGACACTACAGCCAGTTGTATGCCAACCACTTCCCTGCCTGTCTCTGCGTGTGTCCTAGGGATCTCCCTGTCAGCTGCCTGTGACGGACACGTAGATCACTGCGGAACCGGCGCTGAGAAACCCTGTCCTATACAGTGTAACATGAGTGACGACTCGGAGGCTGCTGCCTGGGATGGGGTGCACATGAACTTGATCACTGGGGATGAGGGACCATGTACTTGTGATGTGGGCGGTTCTGTGATGACTGCAGTGCTCGCTCACTGACCGGAAGTTCAGGGAAGCAGCACTGAGCCATAAGGAGCAAATGGCTGTTAGGATAACAAGTTGTAGAAGATGGGGGGCATAGTGGGAAAGGATATTCGATGCTGTGGAATTCCTTGAATTTACACGTCACTTGTTGCTGCACACTTTGTAATGAATCCTCCTGGTCAGAACTTTGAATTTATTCATTTTTTTTTTCCTTTTTTAATTTGAAGAATCCCAAAAGTCGGAGCAGAATGATTCCGGGGATCAGATGCTGAGCATCCCTTTACTCATGCAGAACAAAGTCCCTACCGGGTATGAAGATGGAGACAAAGTGAATGTGGACCTGAGGCCGGAATCTGTACGTCTTCTTTCATTCTCATTCTTTTCCTATCTTCTCCTCTCCTCTCTGCTCTCTCTCTTTTTTTTTCTCTCTTCCTCTTACAACCTCCCTCTGCTCTCTTTTCGCTCTCTCGTTACTTTCCTCCTCTCTTCTCCTCTCTCTTTTCCTCTCCTCTCTCTCGTTCCTCTCTCTCTCTCTCTTCTCTCTCTCTCTTGTTCCTTCTCTCTCTCTCGTTCTTCTCCTCTCTTCTTCTCTTGTTCTCCTCTTCTCTCCTTCTTCACTTGTTCTCCTCTCTTCCTTCTCTTGTTCTCTCTCTCTCTCTCTTCTTCTCTTGTTCTCCTCTTCTCTCCTTCTTCTTCTTCTCTTCTCTCTTCTCTCCTTCTTCTCTTGTTCTCCTCTTCTCTCTCTCCTTCTCTTCTCCTCCTCTTCTCTCCTTCTTCTCTTCTCTCCTCTTCTCTCTCTTCTTTCTTTTTCTCCTCTTTCTCCTTTTCTCTTTTTCCTCTTCTCTCCTTTTTCTCTTGTTCTCCTCTCTCTTTTCTTTTTCTCTTCTTTTTCCTCTTCTTCTCTTCCTTCTTCTCTTTCTCCTCTTCTCTCCTCTTCTCTCTTTCTTTCTCTTTTTTCTCCTTTTCTCCTCCTTCTCTTCTTTTCTCTTTTCTCCTCTTCTCTCCTTTTTCTCCTCCCTCTTCTCTCCTTCTCCTTTTCTCCTCTCCTCTTCTCTCCTTTTTCTCCTCTCCTCTTCTCTCCTTTTTCTCCTCTTCTCTCCTTCTCCTCTTCTCTCCTTCTCCTCTTCTCTCCTTCTCCTCTTCTCTCCTCTTCTCCTCTCCTCTCCTTCTTCTTCCTCTCTTCTTTTCTCTCTCTCTCTCTTCTTCTCTCTCTTCTTCTCCTCTCTTCTCTTCTTCTCTCTTCTCTCCTTCTTCTCCTCTCCTCTTTCTCTCCTTCTTCTCCTCTTCTCTTTTCTCCTTCTTCTCCTCTCCTCTTCTCTCCTTCTTCTCCTCTCCTCTCCTCTCCTCTTGTCTCGTCTCTCTTCTTTCTTTGTTTCCTTTCCTCTTCTTCTTTTTTTTTTTTTTTTTTTTTTTTTTTTAATTGTAAAATGAAGGGAAATACAAGCAAGGATCAGGGCAGTAGACAATCGTACAAATGAGTACAAGAAAAATCTACATTGTTCATATACAGCATACACAGGAGGATTACATCTTTATAGCCCTTTTTGTTGCAGAGTTTTAAGATCACAGCAGTAAACATTTTACAGAGTATGTAGGGGTTGAGTAGAGGAAACAAAAGTCAGAGAAGGAAAAGAGAGAAAAGAAGAGCAGAACACACAACGGGAACGATAATAACCATTGCAGGCGGGCCGTCAAGTTCCATTTCAACAATCAATTAGCTGTAATGTATCAGATTTGTAAGTCTGTCCATGATCAATCCTGGAGGTGCCAAGCCGGGCGTTTCTAGCCAGTTCTGCCAGATTAGCTCAAATTTACGTGGGGCATTACGGTGATGATGGGTCATTTGTTCTCGTAAAAGGAGAGAATTAACATACTCCACCCAACATTTCTCAGAAGGTATTGTACTTGACAGCCAATATCTAGCTATTCGTTTTCTTGCCAAGTACAAGAGACGAGTAATCATGATATAGATACCCGGAGAGTACAGCTCGGGGTCCAGCGCTCCCAATAGACACACTAATGGATCCGAAGGGAGAGGGAAGACACAACCCCCACAGCATCTCCCCAATATCTTGCTCTTTTGGACATCTTCAAATCATGTGAATCAAGTCTCCTCTGTGTGCCATTTGGGCACAAAGGTGTATCTCTCCTGTCCCATTCAGACAATCTAACTGGTGTTCGGTATCCAATGCCAAATCCCAACGATCACCCACTATCCCCCCCACCTCTTCTTCTTTTACCTCCTCTCTTTCTTGTTTCTATCTCCTTTCCTCTTCCCGCCCGCCCCCCCCTCCCCTTTCTCTCACCTTTCTCTCTCTCTCTCTCTCTCTCTCTCTCTCTCTCTCCTTTTCTCTTCTCTCCTCTCCTTTCTCCTTTCTCTTCTCTCCTCCTCTTTTCCCCCTTCCTCTTTTCTCTTTTCTTCTCTTCCTTCCCCCCCCCCCCCCTTTTTCCACTCCTCTCTTCTTTTGTTCCTCACTTCTATTCCTCTCTCTCTCTCTCCCCCCTTCCCTCCCTTTCTTTCTTCTCTCGTTTTTTCTTTCTTTCCTCTTTTTCTTCTTTCTTCTCTTTTTTTTCACTCTTCTCTCTCTCATCCTCCTCTCTTCTCTCTGTCCTTTCTCCTCTTTCCCCTCTCCCTCTTTCTCTTTTCTCCCTCTTCTTCCCTTCTTCTCTCTTCTTTTCTCCCCCCCCCCCCCCCCCCCTCTTCTCTCTACTGTCTTCTTTCGTTCCTCACTTCTATTCCTCTCTCTCTCCCTTCCCTCCCTTTTCTTCTTTTTTTTTTTTTTTTTTCTTTCGTTTGTTCTTTCTTTTTTTTTTTTCTTTTCTTTCTCTTTTCTCTCTCTTGTTCCTCTTCTCTTTCTCTCCTTTCTCTTCTCTCCTCTTTCCCCCTCCCTCTTTCTCTTTCCCTCCCTCTTCTCTTCTTCCTCTCTCTCTCCCCCCTTCTGTCTTTTTTTTTTTTTCTTTCGTTCGTTTTCGTTTTTTCTTCTCTCTTCTTTTATTTTTCTTTCTTTCTCTCTTCTCTCTCTCGTTCCTCTTCTTTCTCTCACTCCTTTCTCTTCTCTCCTCTTTTCCCTCTCCCTCTCTCTTTCCTCCCTCTTCTTCTCTTCCTCTCCTTCCCCCCCCCCCCCCCCCCTTCTCTCTACTCTCTTCTTCTTTCGTTCCTCACTTCTTTTCCTCTCTCTCTCCCCTTCCCTCTCTTTTCTTCTCTCGTTTTTTTTCTTTCGTTCATTCTTTCTCTCTTTTTATTTTTATTATCTCTTTTATTTCTCTCTTCTCTCTCTCTCTTGTTCCTCTCTCTCTTCACTTTTACTTTTCTCTCTCACTCTCTTCTCTCCTCTTTCCCCTCTCCCTCTCTCTCTTTCCTCCCTCTTCTCTTTCTCTCTACCCTCTTCTTCTTTCGTTCCTCGCTTCTATTCCTCTCTCTCCCCTTCTTCCCTCTCTTTTCTTCTCTTGTTTGTTTTTTCTTTCACTCGTTCGTTCGTTCTCTCTCTTTTTCTTTTATTGTATTTCTCTTTTTCCCTCTTCTCTCTTGTTTCTCTCTTCTCTTTCCTCCCTCTTCTCTTCTCTTCCTCTCCCCCCCCCCCCCCCCTTCTCTCTACTCTTCTCTTCTTTCGTTCCTCACTTCTATTCCTCTCTCTCTCCCCTTCCCTCTATTTTCTTCTCTCTCTCTTTTTTTTTCTCGTTCATTCTTTCTCTCTTTTTCTATTATTCTTTTGCTTTCTCTATTCTCCCTCTCTCGTTCCTCTCTTCTCTTTTTCTTTCTTTCTTTCTCTTTTCCCCCTCCCTCTTTCCTCCCTCTTTCTCTTTCCCCCCTCCCTCTTTTCCTTCCTCCTTCTCTCTTTCCCCCCCCCCTCCCTTTCTCTTTCCTCCCTCTTTCTCTTTCCCCCCTCCCTCTTTCCTCCCTCTTTCTCTTTCCCCCCTCCCTCTTTCTCTTTCCCCCCCCTCTTCTCTTTCCCCCCTCTCCTCTTTTCCTCTTTCTCCCCTCTTCTCCCCCTCCCCCACCACTCTCTTCTTTCGTTCCTCACTTTTCTTCCTTTGTCCCTTCCCTCTCTTTTCTTTTCATCTCTCGTCTCTTTTCTTCTTCTTCGTCTCTCTCTCTCTCTCTCTCTCTCTCTCTCTCTCTCTCTCTCTCTCTCTCTCTCTTGTTCTTCTCTCTCTTCTCTTTTCTATTTACTTTTCTCTCTTACTGTCTTCTCTGTTCTTCTCTTTCCCCCTCTCTCCTCTTCTAGAATGCCGCCTCCTAACTGTTAATTCATTTTCCCAGGCCGAGGCTGCGGACTATGAAGTGGTTCCTGTTGAACATTATGGGATGGCCATGCTTCGAGGAATGGGCTGGAAAGAGGGAGAAGGCATTGGAAAGACGTTTAAACAGTGAGTTTATTAGGTGGCTATTACACAAGCAGTGTAACCTTTATTAACCGCATCCCGCCCGCCATAGAAGGAAATGACGGGCGCAAGGCGGTTCTCTCATTCTGGGAGAACTTCATATGGCGTCCTCCCACTCTGTCCACGTGTGTGAGGCTCCGGGGGGCGCGCAGCGCGGCGATCAGATGGTGTGCTGTGTCCCTCGGACACAGCAGATCACCGATCAACGGAAAGAGCCGAAGACGTCAGCTCGGTCATGTGATCAGCTGTGTCCAATCACAGCTGATCACATGTAAACAGGGAAATGTCGGTTATCGGCATTTTTTTTCTGACGATCTGTCACGCTGACAGAGGAGAGGAGAGCCGGTAATCGGCATTCCTCAGCATTCACTCAGAGGGCACTGATGACATGTACCCACTGATCATCAGGGCACTGTCATGATCAATGTGTCAGTGCTCATCTGACATGACCCATCAGTGTAGCCCCCAGTGCAGCCACATGTGCCCATCCTGTCAGTGTCCCTATCAATGCCAGCTCACAGTGTCAGTGCTCATCAGTGCCACATTTCAATCAATTATGCCTGACATATCAGCCTATGCCCATACCAGTGCCACATCAGTAAGGAGAAAAATCACTTATTAAAATATCAGTGCCTACCAGTCTGTCAAAAAAAATTCATCAATGCACATATATCAGTGCCCATCCTGAGCCCGTACCTTTCAGTGCATTGATGCTGACCTATCAGTGCTGCCTCTCAGTGCCACCTGAAGATTCACAGTGCCAGCCTCAGTGCCTCCTATCAGTGCCTAAAAAATGTCAATGTCATGCAGCTCTCTGCTTTGAGGACAGTCTGGCCAGAAGACATCTGAAAGAGCAGGAAGCATAGCCTGCAGATGTAATAAGCATGTATAACCCCCCCCCCCCCAGGTTCACAGAACAAACTGCATTTAGGATTTTATATAATAAACACACATTTCACTTTAACATTTAATAAACAGAACATTGAAAAAAGACGTTCCCTTTTAATGTGTTTATTTCTTAGAGACATTAAGCCACTGGAACAGAAGTTGCGCCCCAAGGGTCTGGGATTAGGCGCTGACCGCTCTGCTGTACAGGATCTGGAGCCCCAGAAACCCCGTAAGCCCTTGAAGCCTGGCGAGCAGGCTGAAGAAGAATCCAAAGGCTTGGGCCCTGGAAGTGCAGTGCTAATACAGAATGGAACCCACAAGGACCTCTACGGCAAGGTAGAGTGATCTGATCCGTCACAAGGGAGTATTGAAGGTCAATGTTGATGAATTATATGACCATAAGTATGTGAACCCCCCCCCAACTCCATCCATATGACTGAGGTCAGGTGTCTCCAATGAAGGGTACTATTAATTCCACATCATACAATGTAGACAATTGTGCCTTCCCTACCTTGTGGTAACAATTTGGTGAAGACCCTTTTCTGTTCCAGTATGACTGTGCCCCTGTGTACAAAGCCAGCTCCATAAAGACGTGGTTTGACCAGTTTGGTGTGGAGGAACTCGTGCCACAAAGAAAAAATAACCCAATCAAACACCCAAGAAAGTTTCCTCCTCCTCAAAATTCTTTATTATAGTAAAAGCATCACAAATCACAGGATCCCCTCCTAAAACCCCACCAGCTTCCTCAGGGCACACCCCCACCCCTCTTGGTCCCTTAACAAGTGGGACACACATATGCAAACTGTTGTAATTCCTACACCGTTCACCTGATTTGGATGTAAATACCCTCAAATTAAAGCTGACAGTCTGCAGTTAAAGCACATCTTGTTCCTTTCATTTCAAATCCATTGTGGTGGTGTATAGAGACAAAAATGTTAGAATTGTGTCCATGTCACAATATTTATGGACCTGACTGTATATTTTTTTATCGTTTTATATATTTGAACTAATAATTTAGTTTTGATCTACAACAAAATGGCGCACGCTTCAATGCACATGCCCGCTTTATACTGCACATAGAAAATGGTGCTTGCCGAAGGCTTATGCGCCATTATATTCCTCATGGTCCCTGGAAAAAAGCTGCACGTATAAATGCGCGTGCGCAGTGTGATTTGTCTCCAGGAAATGGCCTTTGCCGAACACGCATGCGCCATTGCCTATATAAACCAATGGGCGCACGGTTTGCCGTTATTGACAATCCACCCAGACGACGTGTGTTGCACGAAACGCGTAAAAAGGAGTGAATAACGCCGTGACGTCACGCTGCCACAGCAACGTAGAGCTCCGGCGGCCATCTTTTCGCCAGGACGGAGGATTACTTTACAGATTCGCAGGACTCGCAGTCAGGATTTCCATATACCTGGTGAGCGGACCTGTCCATCCCTTAAGGGACCCCGGTTACCTTTCCATCACACACCAGAGGCTACAAGATCCAGGCATACTCAGTGAGGGATTCTACTCCATTCCTGACCAGACCTTGATGACCTTCGGTGACATCAGGATATTTACATACAAATGCGCATTTTATTATGCGCTGCTGGTGAGTGCGCATTCTTATCATTTTTGACTGCACAAGCACCAACTTCCAGTTGAATTACAGGATTCACGTTTTATGACACCAGCCATCATACGAACTATTTTATACAGTGATTGCATTTTTTTGGTCATTTTTGTCTATATATTTTAGCGCTGCACTATAATATAATTTGTCTGTTTTGATGTTTTATCGGTTACCTGAGTGCTTAGCAGCTTTTAGTGCGCTCGCAACTATATATTATTTATTTATGGGAGGTGTCTGTTGTCTTGCAGGAGAAACCAGCAGAAACGCATCAGAAATACAAGCACTGTGTTTTTGATGCATTTCTGCTGCATTTACATTGAAATCTATGGAACCAGAAATCCAACCTTGCCGCTTCACAGCCGGTTTCCTACTGCGCATGCGCGAATCGCGCTGTGCTTTGTGAATGGGCCGCAGTCCTCTGGGACCTATGAAAAGTCCCAGAGGGTTGCAGGGGAAAGTATGGGGGAAGGGGGGGCGCTCACCTGTCCAGAGATCCAGCGTTGTCCCTCACCCCGAGTTGGTTGTTGGGTGCTGGCGCCACCATCTTGACTAAGGGAAACCGGCTGTGAAGCTTTGCCGCTTCACAGCTGGATTGCTACTGCATATGCGCAAATTGTGCTGTGCTTTGTGAATGGGCTGAGGTCCTCTGGGACCTATGAAATCTTCCAGACGGTTGCGGGGGGAAAGTGTGGGGGAGGGGGCACTTACCTGTCCAGGGATCCAGCGCTGTCCTCACCCTGAGCTGATTTTTCAAATGGTTGTCGGGTGCTGGCACTGCCATCTTGACTAAGGGAAACCGCGCTGCTGTGAAGCCTTGCTGCTTCACAGCCGGTTTCCTACTGCTCATGTGTGTATCGTGCTGTGCTTTGTGAACGGGCCACAGTACTTTGGGACCTATGAAAAGTCCCAGAGGGTTACGGGGGAAAGTAGGGGGGAAAGGGGGGGGGGGGCGCTTACCTGTCCAGGGATCCAGCGCTGTCCCTCACCTCAGGCCGATTTTTCAGTTGGTTGTTGGGTGCTGGCGCCGCCCATCTTGACTACGGGAAACCGGCTGTGAAGCTTTGCCGCTTCACAGCCGGATTGCTACTGTGCATGCGCGAATCGCTTTGCTTTGTGAATGAGCTGAGGTCCTCTGGGACCTATGAAATCTCCCAGAGGGTTGCGGGGGGAAGTATGGGGGGCACTTACCTCTCCATGGATCCAGCGCTGTCCTCACCCTGAGCCCATTCTTCAGTCAGTTGGTGGATGCTAGCGTCGCCATCTTGACTAAGGGAAAACGACTGTGAAGCCTTGTCGCTTTGCAGCGGTTTCCTACTGCGCATGCGCGAATTGCGCTGTGCTTTGTGAAATGGGCTGAGGTCCTGTGGGACCTGTGAAGTGTCCCAGAGGGTTGCAGGGGGGAAGTAGGGGGGGCACTTACCTTTCCAGGGATCCAGTGCTTTCCTCATCCCAAGCCCATTCTTCAGTCGGTTGGTGGATGTTGGCGCCGCCATCTTGACTAAGGCAAACCGGCTGTGAAGCTTTGAGGCTTCACGGCCAGTCTCCTACTGCACACGCATGAATCATGCTATGCTTAGTGAACGGACTGCAGTCCTCTGGGACCTGTGGAATGTCCCAGAGGGTTGCGGGGGGAAGTAGGGGGGGGGGGGGGGGGGGAATTTACCTTTCCATGGATCCAGCGCTGTCCTCACCCTTAGCCCATTCTTCAGTCAGTTGGTGGATGCTGGCGCCGCCATCCTAACTAAGGGAAACGGGCTCTGAAGCTTTGAGGCTTTGTAGCCAGTTTCCTACTGCACATGCGCGAATCGCGCTATGCTTTGTGAAAAAAATGCACGCAGTAATGGTTTTACATTGATACATTGTTTTCTTTCTCCTCTCTCTTCTCCAGGTAGAGGGCATTGACGCGGACAATTGCCGAGCGATGATAAAGCTGGCGATTGGTGGAAAAGTGGTGAACGTGTCCCAGTTTGCGTTAAAGTTGGTCAGCAGCGCGGAATACACCAAATACGCCAAAGATCTGAGTGAGTCAAAACTCTCGCTGGTTGCCGGAGCACGCCGATAGACTGGGCGTGGCAGGACCGCGCTCACGCCACACGTGTGTCCCCGGCTGTATTATTACACAGATGATGCACGCTTCATTTAATGACATCGGATCACACGAGTTATCAGACGTACGATGGGCGTTGTCGCCTTTCATAGCCCACGTGACCATCATGGCGGCGGCGTTCCCTTCCTCCCTCCGTGTCCGGGTCCAGATAAGATAGCAATGTGCTAAACCACGCCAGTCATTTATGACTCCCCATCCCGCAGAGCCGGGCGCCGCGCTGATTATTAGGTCACCTAGAAACGTGTTTACAGACGGGTTACTGATTAACGCTGGACAACCAATACGAGCAATTACCGCCGCCGCAGGGCGATGTGCGCCGGAGGGATGGCGGTTATTTCTACAGACACATCGCGTGATCTGGGAGCTGTTTTCTTAACTAATTTTTTTGTGCGCACATAAAAAAAACTGCATTTTTTTGGCTCCAAAATTAATTAACCACTTGCCTACCTGGCACTCAACCACCCCCCCCCCCCCCCCCCCCCCCCCCCTTCCTGCCCAAGGCAATTTTCAGCTTTCTGCGCTGTCGCACTTTGACAATTGCGCGGTCATGCGACACTGTCCATATGGAATTTTTATCATTTTTTTTCACACAAATAGTGCTTTCTTTTCGTGGTATTTAGTCACCACTGGGGTGTTTTATTTTTTGGTAAACAAACGAAAAAAGGTTGATTTTTAATTTTCAAAAAAAAAAAAATGTTTTTCTTTGTATCTATTATAAAATTTTGTGCGTTGATCATAGGCTGCGCTGATGAGGCTGCCCCTAGTGGTGCCCTGCGTGTAGGTGATGCCCCTAGTGGTGCCCTGCGTGTAGGTGATGCCCCTAGTGGTGCCCTGCCCCTAGTGGTGCCCTGCGTGTAGGTGATGCCCCTAGTGGTGCCCTGCGTGTAGGTGCTGCCCTAGTGGTGCCTGCGTGTAGGTGCTGCCCCTAGTGGTGCCTGCGTGTAGGTGCTGCCCCTATGGTGCCCTGCGTGTAGCTGATGCCCCTAATGGGTGCCTGTGTGTAGGTGCTGCACTTAGTGGTGCCCTGTGTGTAGGTGCTGCCCCTAATGGCTGCCTGCGTGTAGGTGCTGCACTTAGTGGTGCCCTGCGTGTAGGTGCTGCCCTTAGTGGTGCCCTGCGTGTAGGTGCTGCCCCTAGTGGCTGCCTGCGTGTAGGTGCTGCCCCTAGTGGCTGCCTGCGTGTTGGTGCCCCCCTAGTGGTGCCCTGCGTGTAGGTGCTGCCCCTAGTGGTGCCCTGCGTGTAGGTGCTGCCCCTAGTGGCTGCCTGCGTGTAGGTGCTGCCCCTAGTGGCTGCCCTGTTGGTGCCCCTAGTGGTGCCCTGCGTGTAGGTGCTGCCCCTAGTGGCTGCCTGCGTGTAGGTGCTGCCCCTAGTGGCTGCCTGCGTGTAGGTGCTGCCCCTAGTGGCTCCCTGCGTGTAGGTGCTGCCCCTAGTGGTGCCCTGCGTGTAGGTGCTGCCCCTAGTGGCTGCCTGCGTGTAGGTGCTGCCCCTAGTGGCCCTGCGTGTAGGTGCTGCCCCTAGTGGCTCCCCTGCGTGTAGGTGATGCCCCTAATGCTGCATGCGTGTAGGTGCCCCTAGTGGTGCCCTGCGTGTAGGTGATGCCCCTAGTGGCTGCATGCGTGTAGGTGCTGCCCCTAGTGGCTGCCTGCGTGTGGTGCCCCTAGTGGCTGCCTGCGTGTAGGTGCTGCCCCTAGTGGCTGCCTGCGTGTAGGTGCTGCCCCTAGTGGCTGCCTGCTTGTGGTGCTGCCCCTAGTGGCCCCTAGGTGGCCCCTAGTGGTGCCCTGCGTGTAGGTGATGCCCCTAATGGCTGCATGCGTGTAGGTGCTGCCCCTAGTGGCTGCCTGCGTGTAGTGCCCCTAGTGGCTGCCTGCGTGTGGGTGCTGCCCCTAATGGCTGCCTGCGTGTAGGTGCTGCCCCTAGTGGTGCCCTGCGTGTGGGTGCTGCCCCTAGTGGTGCCTGCGTGTAGGTGCTGCCCCTAGTGGCTGCTTGTGTGTCAGGCAGCGCAGTCAATTACTTCAATGACCCGGGTAGCGTGTTGATCTCTGTTAATAGACTGCAATCCACAGAGATAAGCAGAGCTGTAAATGGCCGTGCTGATAACAAAGCTGAGTAAATGCGGCTGCACCCGCGGTCATGTGACAACCACGTGGGAGGAATATTTTATCATTGAAAATCTTGGTGCGTGCTGTAAATATACAACGTCATGCACACGCTTGGGTGCCGAGTCTGAATCGCATGAAATCGCAGGACAATTGAGCCTTTGCATGGAACGGGGCTCAACTCAAGCTGCATTCACACATGTATGTTTTTGGCGTGTTTTTTTTTTTTTTTTTCATTGAAATCAATGGAAATGCATGAAAACATGTGTAGCTGTCCGCACTTTATTGCGCGTCGACATGTAATATCACACATATGATGTCATCTATTTCCAATCAATTCTGTGCGGTAAAACACGCATGTGTGAATCCGGCCTGAATTCGAAGCCCATCCGCCGAGTCACCCTGTCCCTGCCCCGTACTCTCCTCCCAACAGACCCCCCCCCCCCCCCCAACAAAAATAGATTACCCCCCAGCAATATTAGATTGTCTCCAAAAAGAAAATACCATCCATTAGAAACAGTTGATGGCCCAGCAGCAACAATAGATCCCACGCAGCAACAATAGATCCCCTGCAAACAATAGATCACATGCAGCAACAATAGATCCCCTGCAGCAACAATAGATCCCCTGCAGCAACAAATAGATCCCCTGCAGCAACAATAGATCCCCTGCAGCAACAATAGATCCACTGCAGCAACAAAAGATCCCATGCAGCAACGATAGATCCCCTGCAGCAACAATAGATCCCCTGCAGCAACAATTGATCCCCTGCAGCAACAACAGATCCCCCATCAGTAACAACAGATCCCTCACCAGCAACAATAGATGCCCCACCAGCAACAATAGATGCCCCACCAGCAACAATAGATGCCCCACCAGCAACAACAGACCCCCCACCAGCAACAACAGACCCCCCACCAGCAACAACAGACCCCCCACCAGCAACAACAGACCCCCCACCAGCAACAACAGACCCCCCACCAGCAACAACAGACGCCCCACCAGCAACAACAGACGCCCCACCAGCAACAACAGACGCCCCACCAGCAACAACAGACGCCCCACCAGCAACAACAGACGCCCCACCAGCAACAACAGACGCCCCACCAGCAACAACAGACGCCCCACCAGCAACAACAGACGCCCCACCAGCAACAACAGACGCCCCACCAGCAACAACAGACGCCCCCACCAGCAACAACAGACGCCCCACCAGCAACAACAGACCCCCACCAGCAACAACAGACAGCCCCCCACCAGCAACAACAGACGCCCCACCAGCAACAACAGACGCCCCACCAGCAACAACAGACGCCCCCAGCAACAGCAACGCCCCACCAGCAACAACAGACGCCCCACCAGCAACAACAGACGCCCCACCAGCAACAACAGACGCCCCACCAGCAACAACAGACGCCCCACCAGCAACAACAGACGCCCCACCAGCAACAACAGACGCCCCACCAGCAACAACAGACGCCCCACCAGCAACAACAGACCCCCCACCAGCAACAACAGACGCCCCACCAGCAACAACAGACGCCCCACCAGCAACAACAGACGCCCCACCAGCAACAACAGACGCCCCACCAGCAACAACGCCCCACCAGCAACAACAGACGCCCCACCAGCAACAACAGACAGAACAACAGACCCCCCCACCCAGCAACAATAGACCCTCAACATTAGATCCCCCAGCAGCTGTCTTCAATAGGCCCTTCAGCAGCCAGCAACAATAGACCTCCCCAAGAGAAGATTCCCCACCCCACCCCCTTCCCAGCAACATTCGATCCCCACCAGCAAAAATAGACCCCTCCCCAACAACAATTGATCCCATAGCAGCCAGAAACAATAGACCTTCAACATTAGACTTACCAGCAGCCATCAATAATAGACCTCCCCTAATAGAAGATCCCCCCCCAATATAACTCTCCCAGGAACAATATAACTTCCCAGCAACAATAGATCCCATAGCAGTTAGCACCAAAAGACCCCCAAGCAGCAGTAGATACCTCTCAGAAATAATAGACCACCAGCAACACTAGAACCTCAACATTAGATCCCTCAGCAGCTATTATCAATAGACCCTCCAACAGCCAGCAACAATAGACCTCCCCCAATGGAAGATCTCCCCCCCAGGAACAATATAACTTCCCAGCAACAATAGACCCCCAACATTAGATTCTTCAGCAGCTATCAATTGACCCTCCAGCAGCCAGCAACAGTAAACCTCCCTCAATAGAAGATCCCGCCCAGGAACAACAGAACTTCCCATCAACAATAGATTCCCACCAGCCACAATGAACCCCCAACAGTAGATCTCCAGCAGCTATCATCAATAAACCCTCCAGCAGCAATAGATTTCCACTAGCAATAATTGACCTCCAACAACAATAGATCCCATAGCAGCTAGCAACAAAAGACCCCGCAGTAGATACCCCCCCCCCCCCAGAAACAATAGACCCCTCAGCAGCTATCATAAATATACCCCCAGCAGCCAGCAACAATAGATCTCCACCAGCAACAAAGACCTCCAACAACAATAGATCCCATAGCTAGCAGAAAAAGACCCTGCAGCAGCAGTAGATACCCCCCAGAAACAATAGATCCCCACCAGCAACAATAGACCCCCAACATTAGATCCCTCAGCAGCTATCATCAATAGACCCTCCAGCAAGAACAAATCCCCACCAGCAACAATAGACCTCCAACAACAATAGATCCTATAGCAGCTAGCAACAAAAGACCCTGCAGCAGCAGTAGATCCCCCAAACACTACACCTTCCCCAATAACAGTTGATCCCCCAGCAGTGGTAGTAAATTTACTTTCTTATACATTTTTTTTTTTTTTATTCCAGGCCGGTTAAGTAAAGCTGAGAAGAAGAGGGAAGAGAGGGAAGCCAAGGAGGAGACGCCCAAAGAGCGCTCTCTGGACAGAGAGAAGAGTAGAAGGGACGAAACGCGGGAGGAGAAGCCCAAAGAGCGTTCTCTGGACAGAGAGAAGAGTAGAAGGGACGAAACGCGGGAGGAGAAGCCCAAAGAGCGTTCTCTGGACAGAGAGAAGAGTAGAAGGGACGAAACGCGGGAGGAGAGCAGGAAGGAGAGTTCCAGCAGCAGAGACAAAAGACCTCAACCGAGGAGTCCTGACAGAGACAAGGACAAGAAGAAACCAAAGCAGGAGGAGCCCAGGTGAGCCAACATGGCAGAGGAGGCCTGTGAGCCTCTTCCTGTCCCTGGATTGTTCCGGTGACATCTAGACCAAACTCCATTTCATGGCGGGCCGCATCAGCATTATGGTTGCCCTCAAAGGACCTGTACGACCTAGATGTCCAACCCCCCCCCCCCATCAGATGTCCAGAGTCCTCCACCCTCCTTTACATCACAGTGCGCCCTCCTTACCTTGTGCTGCTGGGTGCGTAGCTGAGAAGCAGAAAGTACAGGGTCTGGAGGAGGACCAGAGGAGGGCTGGAGTCAGCTGCCAGATTCTTCTGAATGCTGAGACCAGGGGAGGTGGGGACTAGGGAGTACTGCAGCTGCACAGAAAGATGCAGGATCTGTAGAAGTGCTAATTAAAAACACTGACACTGTACTAATGGCATTGGGCAGGGAATGGGTAACATCTGGGGTGATCAAAGGGTTAACTGTGTGCTGTGTTTTACACTGTAAGCACACTGCTTTGTATGGCTCTGCTATGCAGAGCCATACAAAGCAGTGTGCAGGAGCTGACAGGGGAGAGATATGTGTTTGTTTATACACAGGTCTCTCCCCCGTCGGCAATACTCGGGGAATCACCGGCCGGTACCCTGAGGCCGCGAATGGCGGTACCTGCCCGCCCTCTACCCTGAACTGCAAAATCACATATATGTGTGTATTTATATTATGTGTGTGTATCCACTTCCAGTCCGGACACTTTCATCCACTTCCAGTCCGGACACTTTCATCCACTTCCAGTCCGGACACTTTCATCCACTTCCAGTCCGGACACTTTCATCCACTTCCAGTCCGGACACTTTCATCCACTTCCAGTCCGGACACTTTCATCCACTTCCAGTCCGGACGCTTTCATCCACTTCCAGTCCGGACGCTTTCATCCACTTCCAGTCCGGACGCTTTCATCCACTTCCAGTCCGGACGCTTTCATCCACTTCCAGTCCGGACGCTTTCATCCACTTCCAGTCCGGACGCTTTCATCCACTTCCAGTCCGGACGCTTTCCCCCCTTCCAGTCCGGACACTTTCCCCCCCCCCTTCCAGTCCGGACACTTTCCCCCCCTTCCAGTCCGGACGCTTTCCCCCCCTTCCAGTCCAGACACTTTCATCCACTTCCAGTCCGGACACTTTCACCCCCTTCCAGTCCGGACACTTTCCCCCCCTTCCAGACCAGACGCTTTCATCCACTTCCAGTCCGGACACTTTCATCCACTTCCAGTCCGGACACTTTCATCCACTTCCAGTCCAGACACTTTCCCCCCCTTCCAGTCCGGACGCTTTCCCCCCCTTCCAGTCCAGACACTTTCATCCACTTCCAGTCCGGACACTTTCATCCACTTCCAGTTCGGACACTTTCATCCACTTCCAGTCCGGACGCTTTCACCCCCTTCCGGTCCGGACACTTTCACCCCCTTCCGGTCCGGACACTTTCACCCCCTTCCGGTCCGGACACTTTCACCCCCTTCCAGTCCGGACACTTTCACCCACTTCCAGTCCGGACACTTTCACCCACCCTTCCAGTCCGGACACTTTCACCCCCCTTCCGGTCCGGTCCGGACACTTTCACCCCCCCTTCCGGTCCGGACACTTTCACCCCCCTTCCGGTCCGGACACTTTCCCCCCCCTTCCGTTCCCCCCTTCCGGTCCGGACACTTTCACCCCCCTTCCGGTCCGGACACTTTCACACCCCCTTCCGGTCCGGACACTTTCACCCCCCTTCCGGTCCGGACACTTTCATCCCCTTCCAGTCCAGGCCAATTTTCAGCTTTCAGCGCTATCACACTTTGAATGACAATTGCGCGGTCATGCAACACTGCACCCATATGAATTTTTAAACATTTTTTTGAGACAGATAAAGCTTTATTTTGGTGGTATTTATTCACCGCTGGGATTTTTATTTTTTTTTGCTATGTAAATGAAAATGTCCAGAAATTTTGAAAAAAAAGTGTTTTTCTTATAAAATTTTGCAAAAAAAATTTCATCATATATCTTGGCCAACATTTATTCCGTTATCTTTTTTGTAAAAAAAATAAATAACCCAAATTAATTCATAACCAAAAATTTATAATTTGTAAACATTTTTGTTTTACATTTTTATTTTATTTTTTTATATTATTATTTATGGGTTTTTTTTTTGTTTTTTTTTTTTTTTTTACATACTGTCACCCTAGCAGTACAGAGTCACCATGGTGACACTGTACTACTTGTGGGGGGTGATGAAGATTTTATTTGTACACTGATTGCTTTTACACCCATAAAGGCTGTAAAAGCAGTCATTTCTCCTCTCTGGCTGCATTCTTGCAGCCATTGAGAACTACTGTGTGAGCTGTGATTGTCACATGGTACAAGGCTGTTGTGAATGGCCCTGTACCATGTGATCTCTGTGATCATTCACAGATTTCACACGTAGTAAGCAATGATGTCAGAAGTGACATCTTGCTTACTACTCTGCATGTGATCACTGATCGGCCAATCAGTGATCACATGATTGGGACCTCGCACAGAGGTCCCGTCCGACGATCGGTGTTGCACTCTGTCCGGCGCAGAAGCGGCTAATGAGATGCCTATGGCTGTTGGTCCGGCACGTCGGAGGAGTGCGGCGGGTTTTCTAATAGGAGTTATGTGATTATAATGGAAGCGGAATTATCAATGGTCTTATCAATCCTCCTCCAGTCATTTACTGGCAGTCCTCTTCCTGGACTGTCTGACCTCATTATTGTATTGCCGGCTCCTGTGATTTAGAAGCAATAAAAGATTCCTTTACAGATTTAATGACATTTTAATTGCGTGTTGAAACACGTTGCAGATACTTAAAAGCAGCTCGTCCTCGGATTGATCGGTTCGGCTGTGAAGAACGAATGTGGAAGATGAATCACAGCTGAAGTGTAATCTGCTTATCATTTTTATTCTCCAGCCCCTCCCATCAACATGATATTGACATTTTTAAATCTTTTTGTTTTCATTGCAACAGGTCTCTGTGCTTCTCTATGGAATGCAGGTAGATCATGGCTGGTGGGAGGGGCCGGCAGGGTACTGTAACCCCCAAATGGAAAAAATTATTGGCACCCTCCACGTAATATTTGGTAGGACACCCCTTGAAAAAAACTGAAACCAATGGCTTCCTGTGACCATCAATGAGTTTCTTCCATCTCTCTCCTGGAATTTTGGATCGCTCTTCTCTCACCAACTGCTCCAGGTCCCTCAGATTGGAAGGGTTCCTTTTCCCAACTGCTGGTCTGAGATCTCTCCACAGGAGCTCTATGGGATTGAGGAGGACACAAAAAAGTGGAGAAACAAAAAGCCAAATCTGACGTATTCCACGCAAAACCCCCAAATGGACAAAATTATTGGCACCCTCCATGTAATATTTGGTAGCACACCCCTTGAAAAAAAACTGAAATCAATGGCTTCCTGTGACCATCAATGAGGTTCTTCCATCTCTCTCCTGGAATTTTGGATCGCTCTTCTCTCACCAACTGCTCCGGGTCTCTCAGATTGGAAGGGTTCCTTTTCCCAACTGCTGGTCTGAGATCTCTCCACAGGAGCTCTATGGGATGGAGATCTGGACTCATTGCTGGCCAGTTCAGTCCTCTCCAGCGCTTTGACACCATTTCTGGGGGCTTTTTGACTTTGTGCTTTGGGTCATTGTCCTGCTGGAAGACCCATGACCTCTGATGGAGACCCAACTTTCTGACACTGGGCCCTACGTTGCACCCCAGAATTCTTTGGTAGTCTTCAGATTTCATAATGCCATGCACACGGCCAAGACATCCAATGCTTGAAGCCACAAAGCACCCCCAAACCATCAGTGACCCCCCCCCACCATGTGTGACTGGAGGGACTGGATTATTTTCTGTAAAGGCCTCTTTGCTTTTTCTGAAGACAGTAGAATGATGGACTTTACCAAAAAGCTGCCATTTTGTTTCAGCTGTCCACAGCACATTCTCCCAGAAGGATTTTGGATTCCTCAGGTAAGTTTTGGCAAACTCCAATCTGGTTTTTTGATGTTTCTTCTCTGTGTCAGCAGTGGGGTCCTCCTGGTCTCCTCCCATATATCTGTCAGCAGTGGGGTCCTCCTGGGTCTCCCACCATATTTCTGTATCAGCGGTGGGGTCCTCCTGGGTCTTCTCCCATATTTCTGTGTCAGTAGTGGGGTCCTCCTGGATCTCCTACCATATTTCTGTGTCAGCAGTGGGGTCCTCCTGGGTCTTCTCCCATATTTCTATGTCAGTAGTGGGGTCCTCCTGGATCTCCTACCATATTTCTGTGTCAGCAGTGGGGTCCTCCTGGGTCTCCTCCCATATTTCTGTGTCAGCAGTGGGGTCCTCCTGGGTCTCCCACCATATTGTTGTGTCAGCAGTTGGGTCCTCCTGGGTCTCCTACCATATTTCTGTGTCAGCAGTGGGGTCCTCCTGGGTCTTCTTCCATATTTCTGTATCAGCAGTGGGGTCCTCCTGGATCTTCACCATATTTCTGTGTCTGCGGTGGGGTCCTCCTGGGTCTTCTTCCATATTTCTGTATCAGCAGTGGGGTCCTCCTGGGTCTTCTACCATATTTCTGTGTCTGCGGTAGGGTCCTCCTGGGTCTCCTACCATATTTCTGTGTCAGCGGTGGGGTCCTCCTGGTCTCCTACCATATTTCTTCTGCGTCAGCAGTGGGGTCCTCCTGGATCTTCTACCATATTTCTGTGTCAGCAGTGGGGTCCTCCTGGGTCTCCTCCCATATTTCTGTGTCAGCAGTTGGGTTCTCCTGGGTCTTCTACCATATTTTTGTGTCAGCAGTTGGGTCCTCCTGGGTCTCCTACCATATTTTTGTGTCAGCAGTTGGGTCCTCCTGGGTCTCCTACCATATTTCTGTGTCAGCAGTGGGGTCCTCCTGTATCTTCTACCATATTTCTGTGTCAGCAGTGGGATCCTCCTGGGTCTTCTACCATATTTCTGTGTCAGCAGTGGGGTCCTCCTGGATCTTCTACCATATTTCTGTGTCAGCAGTGGGGTCCTCCTGGGTCTCCTCCCATATTTCTGTGTCAGCAGTGGGGTCCTCCTGGGTCTCCTCCCATATTTCTGTGTCAGCAGTTGGGTCCTCCTGGATCTTCTACCATATTTCTGTGTCAGCAGTTGGGTTCTCCTGGGTCTTCTACCATATTTTTGTGTCAGCAGTTGGGTTCTCCTGGGTCTCCTACCATATTTCTGTGTCAGCAGTGGGGTCCTCCTGGATCTTCTACCATATTTCTGTGTCAGCAGTTGGGTTCTCCTGGGTCTCCTACCATATTTCTGTCAGCAGTGGGGTCCTCCTGGGTCTCCTCCCATATATTTCTGTGTCAGCAGTGGGGTCCTCCTGGGCCTCCTACCATAGTGTCCCTCTTCATTCAGATGGTGATGTATACTGCGAGCTGACAGTTATACCCTGTGCCTGAAGGTCAACTTGGATATGTCTAGACGTTGATGGAGGTTCTTTAGCCACCATTCCAACAATCCTTCGTTGCAATCTTTGATCAAGTTTCCTCTTTCGTCCACGTCCAGGGAGAATATCTACAGTGCCATGGGCTGTAAACGCCTTGACAATGCTGCGCACAGTGGACACAGGAACATTAAGATCTCTGTAGATGGACTTGTAACCTTGAGGTTGTCCATGCTTTTCCACCATTTTTGTTCTCCACTCCTCAGACAATTCTTTGCTGCTCTTTCTCTTCTCCATGTGGCACACAGAGACACCCAACAGAAAGGTGGAGTCCATTTGTCACCATTTTACTTGGTTTTCGGTGTGATTTCTATGTTGTCAGTGCCTTGTCATGGATACGGGGGAGTTTAATGACAAATTACAGGAGCGTCACAGACTTGGAATGCAATTATTTCTGCAATTGTGAGAAGGTGCCAATAATTTTGTCCATTTTTTTAAGATTTATTTTTGGGGGAGGAGATATGTAAATATTCTGCAGGTTTGGGCGGTCCTAAGCAGGCTGTATTTACATTCAAATCTATAAATTGTTTTACGAATCTCCCAATTCCGTTCCATCACCTCACATGGTTTGTTTCTTCCTCAGCTGGTTACATCGGGACCTGCGAGTTCGGTTCATTGACAGACACTATAAAGGAGGAAAATACTACAATTCCAAGGTAAGCAAGGATTTATTGTTGTCTGTCTAACACTGGAATCTTCCTGACCGGCAGAGAGAGCAGAGTGATGACCTCATTGGTGTTCCGCTGCTCCTTTATGGGTCTATCACAGGCTTGCTGGGTCTTAGAGCAGGTTGTATTGCACAGCTGCAGTACAGTGTATAGGGGAGATTACGGGGTGTATGGAACCGGTTTTTGCCCTCCCTCTTCTTGATCAACGTGCAATTTAATTTTTTTCAATCAAATCATTTTGTTTTCAAGACCTCTTGTGAGATGTGGTGACCTCATCACTAAATTGTTCTGCTGATGGGAAGGGCTGCTCACTGCACCCTGCCTTGAGCATTCAATGACAGAACATATCCCTTTAGATGTGCACCCTTGCTATACCAGGAACACATCTCCAGCATCCCTTTAGATATGTATGCTCCCTGGTTTCTGCAGCCTTTACCTCTGCAATCTGATGATCAGTTGCTTGATTATAAATCAGGCAACTGATCAGCTAATTGCACAGCTAAAGTCTGCACCACCCAAGAAGTATACATGTCTAAAGGGATGCTGGAGATGTGTTCTTTTTTTTATAATGTTCTGGGACAAGCTTTAAGTATATTGCTAGGGGACACGGTCATGTTCTACTTACACATAGTGTATTGTATTTAGCCATTCTGCTCATTGTCGTTTCTTCTCTATTATTTACAACTGTACACAGATGCTGGTGGAAGATGTCTTGAGCCCTACATTGTGTGTGTGTCGGACAGAAAGCGGACGGATCCTAGAAGGTGAGGTCCTGCTCAAGAAGCAGCAACGTTCTTACTCTTGTGTTGCTTGTAGCTCAAAATGAGCAAACCAGCTTTCTTTTCCGTTCATTGAAGGACACAGTGGAGGTTCAAGATCTTTGCTTTGTCCTTCAATGAATGCAGAGGAAAGGATTTTATAGTGAGTACTAAAAACATTCTACTTACCTTCTGCTGAGCAAGTAAAACCAATACTATTTATGAGATCCTTGAGGACCATGTATCAGTCCATGCACTACCATATGGACACAGATGTACTGAACCCTTCCAGAAGTTTGCCCATATGTGGAGTCCATGCACTACCATATGGACACAGATGTACTGAACCCTTCCAGAAGTTTGCCCATATATGGAGTCCATGCACTACCATATGGACACAGCAGAACTGAACCCTTCCAGAGGTTTGCCCATATGTGGAGTCCATGCACTACCAAATGGACACACAGATGTACTGAACCCTTCCAGAGGTTTGCCCATATATGTGGAATCCATGCACTACCATATGGACAGATGTACTGAACCCTTCCAGAGGTTTGCCCATATATGGAATCCATGCACTACCATAAGGACACAGATGTACTGAACCCTTCCAGAAGTTTGCCCATATATGGAGTCCATGCACTACCATATGGACATAGAGATGTACTGAACCCTTCCAGAGGTTTGCCCATATGTGGAGTCCATGCACTACCATATGGACACAGAGATGTACTGAACCCTCCAGATGTTTGCCCATATATGGAATCCATGCACTACCATATGGAGATGTACTGAACCCTTCCAGATGTTTGCCCATATATGGAATCCCATATGGACAGAGGTTTGCCCATATGTGGAGTCCATGCACTACCATATGGACACAGAAGTATGAACCCTTCCAGAGGTTTGCCCATATGTGGGAATCCATGCCCATATGTGACACAGAAGTATTAACCTTTCGCCCATACCACCATACGGACAAAGATGCACTACCATGACACCCTGAACCCTTCCAGAGGTTTAATCCCATGCACTATATGGAGTTCATACGCCCTACCATATGGACCCACAGATGTACTGAACCCTCCCAGATGTTTGCCCATATATAGAATTTCCATCCATTTCCTGGCTGATTTGGCTTTGTGTTGTATAATGGGGTCCTGTGCCCAGCAGACCTCAGATTTCCTATGGACTATATGGAAATGTGTGTAAATGACACCCCTCCAGGCAAACATATACAGTGACTGGCCGCAGGAGCACCAACTCTTTGAGATCCATCTTCCCTCCAGGCATTTGAACATTCTGTTCTCTGCTTCTTATTTTTTTTAGGTTGACCTGAAATCCACATTTTTGGTACCAGGTGGGTCAATCAGATGTGACTCAGGTGATCCATCTCACCTAATGGCCTTAATCATAATCTCTCTATAACAAAGCCCATTGGGTGAAACGTGTCATGTCTGACAATGGATAGTGTCACATACCCGGTAGAGGCTCCTTTACAGCCCCTGTCCTGTGTGTCCCCCAAGATTGATGACAGGGAAGGACAGGGCATGGAGTGGCACGGGCACCTGTGGGAAATCCTGGCCAGCAGAACTGGATCTTGTGACGAGGCAGAAGCTGAAAAGCAGCAACTCATGTTGAATGTCATCACAGGGTTTGCAGAAGCAGAAGGCAGGGACTTATGCAGGCCATAGATGGGGAGAAAACCCGGCGATTTCTCGTTAAAAAAAAACGAAAAATCGCTCGTTATAGCGGCTGACATTACCAGGAACGGTAAAAAAAATCGGCCGATTTTCATCTCGTCTACAGCCGGCAAAAAGTGTCCCTGCAGAGAGCTCCGCTATTTCTTTGACAGTTCCTTGACATTTATAGCGGTTGCAACAATGTATCTATTTGTATCCATTTAGGATACAGATGTTTTTATTCGGAAACAAATAGATACAATGTTGCAACCGCTATAAATGTCAAGGAACTGTCAAAGAAATAGCGGAGCTCTCTGCAGGGACACTTTTTTGCCAGACTGGAATTCGTCCTCCTCCTCCCCCCCCCCCCGATTTGCCCATAATTGCCGCGAAAATCCTCTCCTCCCCTCCCCCCCCCCCCCCCCCCCGATTTGCCCATATTTGCGGCGAAAATCCTCCTCCTCCTCGCCTCTCCCCCCCCCCCCCCGATTTGCCCATAATTGCCGCGAAAATCCTGCTCCTCCCCCCCCCCCCCCCCCCGATTTGCCCATAATTGCCGCGAAAATCCTCCCTCCCCCCCCCCCCAATTTGCCCATAATTGCCGCGAAAATCCTCCTCCTCCCCCCCCCCCCCCCCCCCCCGATTTGCCCATAGTTGCCGCGAAAATCCTCCTCCCCCCCCCCCCCCCCCCCCCCCCCCCCCCGATTTGCCCATAGTTGCCGCGAAAATCCTCCTCCCCCCCCCGATTTGCCCCCGCGAAAATCCTCCCCCCCCCCCCCGATTTGCCCATAATTGCCGCGAAAATCCTCCTCCCCCCCCCCCCATAATTGCCGCGAAAATCCTCCTCCCTCCTCCCCCCCGATTTGCCCATAATTGCCGCGAAAATCCTCCTCCCCCCCCCCCCCCCCCGATTTGCCCATAATTGCCGCAAAAATCCTCCTCCTCTTCCCCCCCCCCCCCCGATTTGCCCATAATTGCCGCGAAAATCCTCCTCCTCCCCTCCCCCCCCCCCCCCCCCCCCCCCGATTTGCCCATATTTTGCGGCGAAAATCCTCCTCCTCCTCCCCCCCCCCCCGATTTGCCCACAATTGCCGCGAAAATTCCTGCTCCTCCCCCCTCCCCCCCCCCCGATTTGCCCATAATTGTCGTGAAAATCCTCCTCCCCCCCCCCAATTTGCCCATAATTGCCGCGAAAATCCTCCTCCTCCTCCTCCCCCCCCCCCCCGATTTGCCCATAATTGCCGCGAAAATCCTGCTCCTCCCCCCCCCCCTGATTTGCCCATAATTGCCGCGAAAATCATCCTCCTCCCCCCCCCCCCCCCCCCCCCCCCGATTTGCCCATAATTGCCGCGAAAATCATCCTCCTCCCCCCCCCCCCCCCCCCCGATTTGCCCATAATGCCGCGAAAATCCTCCTCCTCCCCCCCCCCCCCCCCCCCCCGATTTGCCCATAATTGCCGTGAAAATCCTGCTCCTCCTTCCCCCCTTTCCCCCCGATTTGCCCATATTTGCCGCGAAAAATCCTCCTCCTCCTCCTCCTCCTCCCCCCCCCCCCCCCGATTTGCCCATAATTGCCAATTTGTTTTTCCACTACGAAAATCCTCCTCCTCCTCCTCCTATTCCTCCTCCCCCCCCCGATTTGCCCATAATTGCCGCGCCCGGAAAATCCTCCTCCTCCCCCCCCCCCGATTTGCCCATAATTCTGCCCCGAAAATCCCCCCTCCCCTGCCCCCCCCCCCCCCCCCCCCGATTTACCCATAATTGCCGCGAAAATCCTGCTCCTCCTCCCCCCCCTGATTTGCCCATAATTGCCGCGAAAAATAAGGATCCTCCTCCCCCCCCCCCCCCCGATTTTTGCCCCCTAATGCCGGAAAATCCTGCTCCTTGCCTTCCCCCCCCGAATTGCCCATATTTGCCCGCGAAAATCCTCCTCCTCCTCCTCCCAGTCCCCCCCCCCCCATTTGCCCATAATTGCCGCGAAAATCCTCCTCCTCCTCCTATTCCCCTCCTCCCCCCCCCGATTTGCCCATAATTGCCCATGGCGAAAATCCTCCCTCCTTCACCCCCCCCCCCCCGATTTGCCAATAATTGCCGCGAAAATCCTCCTCCTCCTCTCCCCCCCCCCCCCCGATTTGCCCATAATTGCCGCGAAAATCCTCCTCCTTCTCCCCCCCTTACCCCCCCCATTTGCCCACATAATTGCCGCGAAATCCTCCTCCTCCTCCTCCCCCCCTCCCCGATTTGCCCATAATTTCCGCGAAAATCCTCCTCCTCCCCCCCTCCCCCCCGATTTGCCCATAATTGCCACGCGAAAATCATCCTCCTCCCGATTTGCCCATAATTGCCACGAAAATCCTCCTCCCGATTTGCCCATAATTGCCACGAAAATCGGCCAATTTTTTTCCAACTTTACCGATAAAAAAAATCTGCCAAAATACCGAAAAAACGGCCGAACAATTAGCCAACGAAACGATCCGAAAATCAGCCGATTTTATTTTCGGCCAAAAGATCGGCCGATTTTCGACCCATCTGTGGCCTGCATTAGTCAGTTGGGCTGAAGTTGGCAACTGTCGGGCAGCGGAGGTGCAGATTCAGAAGACAAGAGCGTAAACAGGATCCAGGCCGAGGTCGTTATCACACGAGCCGGAGATGAGCCAAAACTCTAAGCAGCGTGTGGAGTCAAGAAACAAGCTAGAGGTTGGGTTCCGGAGGGATCAAGATCAGGCGAAGTAAGAAGGTAATCCGGGTGTAACACTGGAGCAAGAAGGGTGTGGTCATGGATCCACAGGAGCTGATGACCACTCAGCGGTGATCCAAACATGGCACCAAAAGTCCAACCAACGTTGGACAGACGCGTGCAGCCCTGATGCTATGTGTAGGTCTGCAGGCCGTTCCTTGCGCATGTGCAGTCGTTCTTCGGTCACATATACAAACTTGGTTTTCCTGACCGATTAGAAGGTCTGACCCATCTGGTACCAATAAAGCTGGTTGCAGTTAAGCCAAAAAAAAAACCCCCAAAAAACAGAGTGTTAGAGAAATTACTGAACCAGAACACCAAACTGTCAACAGAACTCGTGGGGTCCATAGGCAGCCCACATGGGCTTCGATTTCTGAAAACTTTGCTCTGAAAAGAGGCGTGAAACATGTCAGAGGGAGGTGTTCTGGTGAACTACATATTGTATGGACTCTTGTCAATAAAGATTGAATTGCGCTGCTTTAATTGCTTTCCTATGCATGGTGTGGAGTATGCCAAGCCTGAACCCAAGACCAGAATGTCCGTGTAGACCAGAACCAGTGAGCAGAGCTTTAGAGAGTACATGGTCCTAGTAGGGAGCCTTCAGGGAATGAACCCTTGAGATTTGTATGCCAATAACCCTCCCCGCCTGGAGAAGGGGATTCTGGGTAACTGCCATTCTTACATAATGGCCTGTTAATGGCCCCCTGTCCACTGGGTGGTGAAAACACCACTTGGCCTTCGGTGGACCAGAACACCTAGGATGCAGTCTAGAACAGGTGTCTCCAAACTTTCTAAACAAAGAGCCAGTTTACTGTCCTTCAGAACTAAGGGGGGCTGAACTGTGCCCATTGGGTGTAGAAAAGGTCCCAATGTCAGTGGGAATAAATAATGCCCCATCTTTGGTGTCAGTGGGAATAAATAATGCCCCATCTTTGGTGTCAGTGGGAGGAATAGCACCCCATTGTTCTTGTCAGTGGGAGGAATTGTGCCCTTCTTTGGTGTTAGTGGGAGGCATTCTGCCCTGTCTTTGGTGTTATTAGGAGGAATTGTGCCCCATCATTGGTTTCATTGGGCCCCATTGGTGTAATTGGGAGGAAATGTGCCCTGTCTTTGGTGTCGTTTGGAGGAATTGTGCCCCATGATTGGTGTCATTGGGCCCTATTGTTGGTGTCATTGGGAGGAATTACGTCCCTTCTTTGGTGGTGGTGGGAGGCATTCTGCCCTGTTTTTGGTGTCATTAGGAGGAGTTGTGCCCCATCATTGGTTTCATTGGGCCCCATTGTTGGTGTATTTGGGAGTAATTGTGCCCTGTCTTTGGTGTCGTTGGGAGGAATTGTGCCCCATGATTGGTGTCATTGGGAGGAATTGTGCCCTGTCTTTGTTGTTGGGCAGAATTGTGCCCCATCTTTGGTGTCATTGGGAGGAATTCTACCTCTTCATTGGTGTCAGTTAGGTCAATTATACCCAGTTGTTGGTATTGGTGGATGAGTATGGTGCCCCAAGGGTCAGATAAAAGCAAGCAAATTGCTTCAATTTGGAGACCACTGATCTAGACCAATGGTTCTTAACCTGACTGAAACCAGGGCTCTGTAAATTCTTTCAAAACCCTCCATGCCCCAACGGTAAAGAAAACAAAGTTTATAGTCACACAATTTAACTATAGGAATGCAATGTACAGAAGTGCTGGAAAGCCCTGGATGGAGTTGGGTGTCACTGTGGTTGGGAATGGGGATTCTGGATGGGGTTAGTGGACTCTGCAGCAGACTTGGTGGCCCTGTAGGGGATGAAGTTTTTGAAGGGGTTGGAGAAACTGTGGGGGGTAAGATCTCTGGAGGGGATTGGGGGTCTCTACTGGAGTCTGGGGACTTGCAGGGGAAACTCAGTGAGAAGGCTGTAGGGCCTGGGGGTGGGGGGCTCTGTGGAAGGTTGGGGAGGCAATGTGTGACACTGTTGGAGGTTGGGGGCTCTTCTTTAGGCAATGGAGTTGGGTGCCACTGTGGCTGGGGGTCTCTACTGGAGTCTGGGGACTTGCAGGGGAAACTGTGTGAGAAGGCTACAGGGCCTGGGGCGGGGGGGATGGGCTCTGTGGAAGATTGGGGAGGCAATGTGGGACACTGTTGGAGGTTGGGGGCTCCACAGTAGGCAGTGGAGTTGGATGTTACTGTGGTTGGGAATGGGGATTCTGGATGGGGTTAGTGGACTCTGCAGCAGACTTGGTGGCCCTGTAGGGGATGAAGTTTTTGAAGGGGTTGGAGAAACTGTGGGGGTGAGATCTCTGGAGGGGGTTGGGGGTCTCTACTGGAGTCTGGGGACTTGCAGGGGAAACTGTGTGAGAAGGCTACAGGGCCTGGGGCGGAGGGGGGGGGGGGGTGGGCTCTGTGGAAGATTGGGGAGGCAATGTGGGACACTGTTGGAGGTTGGGGGCTCCACAGTAGGCAGTGGAGTTGGATGTTACTGTGGTTGGGAATGGGGATTCTGGATGGGGTTAGTGGACTCTGCAGCAGACTTGGTGGCCCTGTAGGGGATGAAGTTTTTGAAGGGGTTGGAGAAACTGTGGGGGTGAGATCTCTGGAGGGGGTTGGGGGTCTCTACTGGAGTCTGGGGACTTGCAGGGGAAACTGTGTGAGAAGGCTGCAGGGCCTAGGGGGGCTCTGTGGAAGGTTGGGGAGGCAATGTGGGACACTGTTGGAGGTTGGGGGCTCTGCAATAGGCAATGGAGTTGGATGTCACTGAGGTCTCTGAGGGGGCTGAGGTTCTCTACTTGCGTTTTGAGGCAGAACCTCTTCCTCAGAGTCCATCAGTAATTTGGAGGCCTACAGTCCCCCAACAGCCATCATCTAGGGAGATTGGACCATGCTGACTTTTTTGTGATGTGCCTTTATTTTTTGTTTTTTTTTTTTGTGAGTATACTACTTTTTATTCAATAAATCTCATTTTTAGAAGGTAATGCACTAGGCCCGTGCACCCTCTGCAGGGGCTGGGGGCACTGTGGAGGCATTGTTTGACACTGATGGAGGTTGGGGGCTCTGAAATAGGCTGGGGGGGGGCACTGTGGGGGCTGAGGGATACTGAGGTCCACTATGGAAGATTGGTGGCCACTATGGGAGTTGGGAGGCACAGTAGGGGCTGAGATATACTGAGGTCCACTATGGAAGATTGGGGCCCACTATGGGAGTTGGGAGGCACTATGGGGACTGAGGGATACTGAGGTCCACTATGGAAGATTGGGGGCCACTATGGGAGTTGGGAGGCACTGTGGGGGCTGAGTTATACTGAGGTCCACTATGGAAGATTGGCGGCCACTATGGGAGTTGGGAGGCACTGTGGGGGCTGAGGGATACTGAGGTCCACTATGGAAGATTGGGGGCCACTATGGGAGTTTGGAGGCACTGTGGAGGCTGAGGGATACTGAGGTCCACTATGGAAGATTGGGGGCCACTATGGGAGTTGGGAGGCACTGTGGGGGCTGAGGTATACTGAGGTCCACTATGGAAGACTGGGGGCCACTATAGGAGTGTGGGGGCTGAGGTATACTGAGGTCCACTATGGAAGATTGGGGGCCACTATGGGAGATGGGAGGCACTGTGGTGGCTGAAGTATACTGAGGTCCACTATGAAAGATTGGGGGCCACTATGGGAGTTTGGAGGCACTGTGGGGGCTGAGGTATAATGAGGTCCACTATGGAAGATTGGGGGCCACTATGGGAGTTGGGAGGCACTGTGGGGGCTGAGGTATACTGAGGTCCACTATGGAAGATTGGGGGCCACTATGGGAGTTTGGAGGCACTGTGGGGGCTGAGGGATACTGAAGTCCACTATGAAAGATTGGGGGCCACTATGGGAGTTGGGAGGCACTGTGGGGACTGAGGGATACTGAGGTCCACTATGGAAGATTGGGGGCCACTATGGGAGTTGGGAGGCACTGTGGGGGCTGAGGTATACCGAGGTCCACTATGGAAGATTGGGGGCCACTATGGGAGTTGGGAGGCACTGTGGGGGCTGAGGTATACTGAGGTCCACTATGGAAGATTGGGGGCCACTATGGGAGTTGGGAGGCACTGTGGGAGGTTTGGGGATCTGCAGCTGACTGGAGGCCCAGTAGGAGCGAGGCCGCTTTCCCAGCAGTGAGCCATGGCTTAGGTGTTGAGAACCACTGGTCTCAGGTCTTCAATGTTCTGGATGGAATGACTGTGTTTCCTTGCGGCTCTCTTGGATTTTTTTAATGTACTCAATTTCCCGATCTTTCTTTCTTTTAGATATAACACAGGACATGCTGGAAACGGTCATACCAAAAGAAGAGGGAGGCCTTGTCATGGTGGTACTGGGCAAACATCGGGGGCAGGTAAAAAAAAAAAAAATTAAGAAAAATAGTCTTTCGATCCTGCCAGGGACTTCCTCTTCCTGGATATACTAAACATTCATAAAAAGGTGACAACGCTGCAAATGTACCCTTGGCAGCGTTGCCACCGCAGTCTATTGTAAGCCGTGTCTGTGGTTTATTCTGCCCCGCAGGTCGCATGATTTCATTGCCCATTCTGTGCTCTACTTTGCCGGGATCCTAGCCGCAGTGCGTCACGTCATCCTGTTGTAAGCCATCTTTCCAGCCTACCCTGCAGTCAGTGGCGATGATCGCGAGGCTCTGTAAAGGAGCCACCATCAATGAATGCAGTTACCTGCAATAGGATCAGATGCCGAATTGGGCAGATAATGGCGCTGATTGACAGCGGCCCCTCCGCAGAGCCTCGTTGACCTCACCATTGACTGCAAGGCAGAGTTCTTATGCCAGGAGCCTGAGAGCTCCATTCCAGTTGGCATGGTGAAGTGACGTCACCACGACGTGACGTGCCGCAGCATAGCCCAACCCCCAAGCTGAGGTGAGAATAAACCTGAGAGGTTGTCTGTCTAGGAGAGAGCGTGACTCCAACCCCAGAGGCAGGAAACAAAACACAAAGGACTTTAGAAGGGCGGTCCCAGGCCTAGCCCACCAGGATTTGCGTTTCCTCCACTGGGCAGAAATGTCTTTTTGAATTCTAATGCAGTTTGTCCTTGGTGATCATTGGAGGAGGGGAAACGTTTTGGGGTTTCTTTCCTCCCTTTTTTTTTTTTTTTTTTTGCCCCAGTCTGGCTGCATGTCCAGGCCCAGGTCCTGAGCCCTCTCCGCAGTTCCATAGTCCATGGGGGCTCGGGACAGTTGCTGGCGCTGCTCTCCTGGGGACTGTGTGGCCATCCTAGCGGTTTCCACCCTATTGCAACGCGGAGCTTCCCTTTCTTTAAAGGGAGTTGATGGTCGGGGCGCCAGGGGCGGACTGACCATTTGGAAACTCGGGCACTGCTCGAGGGCCCGGGGTCAGTAGGGGGCCCCATGAGATGCATTAAGATAGTTATTAAAGAGGTTATTAAATACATTAACGTGTCACCCAATGTATGGTCTCCATTCAGTAGCCAAAAGAGGCATACAAAAAAAGGAGGGTTGTGAAAAGAGATTCACAGAAAAAGCGGCTACATAATGAACAGAACGTGACACTAAGGAAATAATTTCCAAAAATTATGCTTTATTACACACAAATGAATATGACATATGGGCATTCGCCCTGGTTTACCATCACCTCAGTATGAGACAATACACACAGACCTAAAACCATTTAAAATGACACAAAAACCGGTCTAAATGTATGTGTAGCAGGGAAAATGGCTACATGAGTCTAGTGTCCCTGCAACACAAACACACAGGTGAACACTTCCCTAGGGAGGTGTATCCAAAAATTATGCCATGGGCATACCATAATAGAGGATATATGAGGGATTAAACAGTAACCATAATGGCAAATCCCTATCAAGAAATCCAAAAAATTATGCTATAGATATATATATATATCATGTATGCAATGGAGCAAGCACAATATGCGTCAAAAAGGAGAGTAGCAGGCCTCAGGCCTGTATGAAGGAAGACATAAATGTCAAATATATTGTACAATACATTCCTGTGCCGGCACAAGTGGTTGGGGCCCATTCATCTGTAATATAGATAGCTGTTTCCTAGAGCTCTTGGATGGGAATATGCCCCATTTATTTCCAGGATGGAAGAAAAGATGCACACAGCAGCACTCTGCTTAAAATGGTTTCTTCACCACTGCATGTGGACTATACACCACTTTTGTAGGAAAAAACAAGACACATCCCAAAGACTCTTCTGCCTGTTGAAATATATATGGTATATCTTGTTTCCTATACAAAGCACCATGATGTCCCCATCCTGTAGTGAAACAAACAATATGTGGGAAGTCACTGACAGAGCTCACACTATAGAAGATATATAGGTCATATAGATCACAGAGGACCATATATCTAATGTCCTGCAACAATCCACTCACCACCTGTGCTATGGATAACGGGAATGAAAGAGAAGTCCTTCATAGGTACTGCCATACAGGGCCAAGGCGGCCAAGGAACCACCGCTGACATCCGCCGATATACCGCGGGTTCCAGCCCCTTCTCGGCGCTTGTGCTGCTTAGGCTTGCCTTATGGCTTGTGAAGATGGCTTCCTCCTTATGGGTCAGCGTGCGTTCCACCTAGTGCGCATGACCGGAAGTGACGTATCTGACGTATGACGTCAACGCGTTTCGCCGATGGGCGTATCTCACTCAGCTTCGTCAGGACCAATGAAACAACCGCATTTCAATTTCCTATTTATAGTGGGTTAAACCCCACCCATTTATGCAAAAAGCCAACCTGCAGTTATTCCTAATGGAAGAAAGAAAGGGCTAAATACTTAGCACAGCTGCTGGTCATTATTGAATATAATTAAAAAACAGATATCCGGAGACAACAGAGAGGGGAGAGACTTTAGCAATTTTGACGATGCATATATTGATCAAAAAATCATGAATTAAATATATTCGTCAACTAAAGCACCCATCACACTCTAACCAGAAGGTGGCGATATTAATCAGAGAAAGGTTGATCTGAACATTAGATCAACGAAAATGCCGAAAATTTGTTCCAATGTGAGGATGTCAGCGGTGGTTCCTTGGCAGCCTTGGCCCTGTATGGCAGTACCTATGAAGGATTTCTCTTTCATTCCTGTTATCCATAGCACAGGTGGTGAGTGGATTGTTGCAGGACATTAGATATTTGGTCCTCTGTGATCTATATGACCTATATATCTTCTATAGAGTGTGAGCTCTGTCAGTGACTTCCCACATATTGTTTGTTTCACTACAGGATGGGGACATCATGGTGCTTTGTATAGGAAACAAGATATACCATATATATTTCAACAGGCAGAAGAGTCTTTGGGATGTGTCTTGTTTTTTCCTACAAAAAGTGGTGTATAGTCCACATGCAGTGGTGAAGAAACCATTTCAAGCAGAGTGCTGCTGTGTGCATCTTTTCTTCCATCCTGGAAATAAATGGGGCATATTCCCATCCAAGAGCTCTAGGAAACAGCTATCTATATTACAGATGAATGGGCCCCAACCACTTGTGCCGGCACAGGAATGTATTGTACAATATATTTGACATTTATGTCTTCCTTCATACAGGCCTGAGGCCTGCTACTCTCCTTTTTGACGCATATTGTGCTTGCTCCATTGCATACATGTGATATATATATATATCTACAGCATAATTTTTTGGATTTCTTGATAGGGATTTGCCATTATGGTTACTGTTTAATCCCTTATATCCTCTATTATGGTATGCCCATGGCATAATTTTTGGATACACCTCCCTAGGGAAGTGTTCACCTGTGTGTTTGTGTTGCAGGGACACTAGACTCATGTAGCCATTTTCCCTGCTGTACACACACATTTAGACCGGTTTTTGTGTCATTTTAAATGGTTTTAGGTCTGTGTGTATTGTCTCATACTGAGGTGACGGTAAACCAGGGCGAATGCCCATATGTCATATTCATTTGTGTGTAATAAAGCATAATTTTTGGAAATTATTTCCTTAGTGTCACGTTCTGTTCATTATGTAGCCGCTTTTTCTGTGAATCTCTTTTCACAACCCTCCTTTTTTGTAGGCCCCATGAGATGCCCCTGGTACCTTTTTCATAGGCTTTTTGAGTTTGGGCAAGGACACAGGGGCCACATGATCCCCTATTGCCCGGGAGCCCCATGAGTTGTCAGTCCGCCCCTGGTCGGCGCTGGATCCTAGCAGCTCTGGTCTGTGGAGCGCAGGAGGAGGTGGGGGAGGGGCTTCCAGTCGCAACATCTGGTGCTGCATGGAGCGAAGATGTCAGGAACCCGAGGGATCCTTTGTAAATGGACATTCGTTGGCAAAGCAGAGCGATTGCTCCACATGGGATCCGGGTGCTTCTTAGCTGCCCCCCCCCCCCCCCCAAAAAAAAAAGTCATGTGATCTAGAAATTAAAAAGAAATAAAGAAAAACTTTTTTTAAAGCATTTTCTTTGTAAATGAATTTCTGGTGATTTTGCATTTCCAGGTAGGGAGCGCGCGTGCGCACCCTACCCGCATCTCCATTGGTGGCTTCAGCTGTCGATCATCAGGTCCCGGCCGGTGATTCCCCGCCTGCACCCGGCGAATATCACTGACGGGAGAGATCTGTATTGTTTACATACAGACCTCTCCCCTATCAGAAGGACATGCTGCTTTGTATGACTCTGCATAGCAGCATGCTTGCATGGTAAAGCACACAGTTAACCCTTTGATGGCCCCAGATGTTAACCCCTTCCTGCCCAGTGTCATTAGTACAGTGTCAGTTCTTTTTATGAGCACTGATCACTGTATTGGTGTCACTGGGGATGTCAGTGACACCAAGTCAGTTCCCCCTAGTGTCAGAATGCCCACTGCAGTTCCGCTATAAGTCGCTGATCGCCGCCATTACTAGTATAAAAAACAAAAAAAAATCCCAGTATCTATACCGACATTTGTAAATGTCATAACTTTCATACAAACCAATTAATTTACACGTATCTGTGTTTTTTTTTTTTTTTTTTTTTGTTTTTTTTTTTTAGCAAAGATACGGAGCAGAATACATTTTGGCCTAAATTTATGACGGAATTTGATTTTTTAAATTTTTTTTACTGGATATGGTTAATAGCAAAAAGTCAAAAATATAGTTTTTTTTTTCTCAAAATCGTCAGTCTTTTTTTTTTTTTATAGCTCAAAAAATAAAAAAAAACTGTACAGGCGATCAAATACCACCGCAAGAAAGCTCCATTGGTGGGGAAAAAAAAAAAAAGGATGTAAATTTAATTTGGGTGTAGCGATGAAATTATATATTTTTTTACATTTTTTTACTAAATATGTTTTATAGCAAAAAGTCAACAATATATTTTTTTTTTTCTCAAAATTGTCAGTTCTTTTTTTTTTGTTTATAGCGCAAAAAATTGCGCACACAAGCGATCAAATACCACTGAAAAAAAATGCTTCATTTGTGGGGGAAAAAAAGGACATAAATTTCATTTGGGTGCAGCGTTGCACGACTGCGCAATTGTCCGTTAAAGTAACGCATCGCCGTATCGCAAAAAAAATGGCCTGTTCAGGAAGGCGGGGGTAAACCCTCTGGAGGGGGAGGGGTTAATAAGTAAACAAGTGTGAGCTCTGTGGACCGGCAGTGACACCCTGCTCTCTTCCAGGTGGGGAGAATCCTGCACAGGGAGCGGCAGAAGAGCAGAGCTCTGGTACAGTTACAGGGGGACCATGATGGAGCGGCTACCCTCAGCTATGATGTCATCTGTCACTACACCGGAGAATACGAGGATTGACCCGCGGAGCACGCAACTTTTTTATGTTCACGTTTCATATCAAATTTTTTTTGTGGTTAATTTCTGTAAATAAACAATCTGTAAAAAGTCTTCTGCAGTTTTTTATTGTTTTTTAATGGCGATTCCGATTCAAGTTAACCCTTTTGGTACAGACCCCCCAGCCTAACCCTTCTTTACAGACCACCCCCTCCAGTCTAACCCCTCATTACAGACCACCGCCTCCAGCCTAACCCCTCATTACAGACCACCGCCTCCAGCCTAACCCTTCTTTACAGACCACCCCCTCCAGTCTAACCCCTCAGTACAGACCACCGCCTCCAGCCTAACCCCTCAGTACAGACCACCGCCTCCAGCCTAACCCCTCATTACAGACCACCCCCTCCAGCCTAACCCCTCAGTACAGACCACCGCCTCCAGTCTGACCCCTCAGTACAGACCACCGCCTCCAGCCTGACCCCTCATTACAGACCACCGCCTCCAGCCTAACCCCTCAGTACAGACCACCGCCTCCAGCCTAACCCCTCATTACAGACCACCCGCCTCCAGCCTGACCCCTCATTACAGACCTCCGCCTCCAGCCTAACCCCTCATTACAGACCACCCCCTCCAGCCTAACCCCTCATACAGACCACCGCCTCCAGTCTGACCCCTCAGTACAGACCACCGCCTCCAGCCTAATCCATCAGTACAGACCAACGCCTCCAGCCTAATCCATCAGTACAGACCACCGCCACCAGCCTAACCCCTCATTACAGACCACCGCTTCCCAGCCTAACCCCTCATTACAGACCACCGCCTCCAGCCTAACCCCTCATTACAGACCACCGCCTCCAGCCTGACCCCTCATTACAGACCACCGCCTCCAGCCTGACCCCTCATTACAGACCACCGCCTCCAGCCTGACCCCTCATTACAGACCACCGCCTCCAGCCTGACCCCTCATTACAGACCACCGCCTCCAGCCTGACCCCTCATTACAGACCACCGCCTCCAGCCTGACCCCTCATTACAGACCACCGCCTCCAGCCTGACCCCTCAGTACAGACCACGCCTCCAGCCTGACCATCAGTACAGACCACCGCCTCCAGCCTGACCCCTCATTACAGACCTCCGCCTCCAGCCTGACCCCTCATTACAGACCTCCGCCTCCAGCCTACCCCTCATTACAGACCACCGCCTCCAGCCTGACCCCTCAGTACAGACCACCGCCTCCAGCCTGACCCCTCAGTACAGACCACCGCCTCCAGCCTGACCCCTCAGTACAGACCACCGCCTCCAGCCTAACCCCTCAGTACAGACCACCGCCTCCAGCCTGAACCCCCCATTACAGACCACCGCCTCCAGCCTGACCCCTCATTACAGACCACCGCCTCCAGCCTAACCCCTCAGTACAGACCATCCAGCCTAATCCATCAGTACAGACCACCGCCTCCAGCCTAACCCCTCATTACAGACCACCGCCTCCAGCCTAACCCCCCAGTACAGACCACCGCCTCCAGCCTAACCCCTCAGTACAGACCACCGCCTCCAGCCTAACCCCTCATTACAGACCACCGCCTCCAGCCTAACCCCTCATTACAGACCACCGCCTCCAGCCAGCCTAACCCCTCATTACAGACCACCGCCTCCAGCCTAACCCCTCAGTCCAACCCCTTAGTAAAGAGTCCCCAATCAGGGATTCCTTCACTTTGGATAGATTTCCTCTCACTTCCTGTTTTGGTTCCTGAGACAGGAAGTAAATGGAAATCTCCCCAATGGGGACACAGATGGGAAAATATCCATGACAGGGATTGTAACCCTCTCCGAGCCAAAATGAAATCCATAAGGTCTACTTTCAGGACTTTAGAGATGATCAGCTTCTAATGTTCTGCCGCCATTGTGTACATAACAGCCAGGTGACCAGCATTTCTGGGGGGATGGTCAGCATAACAGCCAGGTGTACATAACAGCCAGGTGACCAGCATTTCTGGGGGGGATGGTCAGCATAACAGCCAGGTGACCAGCATTTCTGGGGGGGTGGTCAGCATAACAGCCAGGTGACCAGCATTTCTGGGGGGGGGGGGGCCCCTTGGTGCTCTCTGGGCGAAGAGATGGCAATCGCCCTTAACAAAGATGGCAGCGGTGGAGCGTAAAGTGCCGAAGTAGCTTCCGGTCCATGTATTTCCAGTATTTCCGGTCCCGTGACCGAGCATGTAAACAAGGAAGTGGAACGAAAACAACAGAGGCGGCTGTGAGTGGAGATCCGGGTGCGGGGATGGGGGGCTGTGTGCGGATCGGGGGGCTCTGATGTTAGCGTGATGTCATTTGTTTCTTCTTTTTACAGCCGGAGAGATCCAATCATGGCTCAGCAACGAGGAGTGAATGGTCTCCGCTTCAACCAGGACCAGAGTGAGTGGGGGAGGGGCAGAGGAACTACATGTCCCAGCATTACCACATAGCAAAGCCGGGCTTAGGATAGGAAAGGAGGAGGGGGGGCAGTGTAGTGTCCCTCATTACATTGGGGGGGGTCAGTGTAGGGCTCCTCATGACATTGGGATCAGTGTAGGGCCCCTCATTACATTGGGGTCAGTGTAGGGCCTCTCATTACAATGGGGGTCAGTGTAGGGCCCCTCATGACATTGGGGTTAGTGTAGGGGCCCCTCCTTACATTGGGGACAGTGTAGGGGCCCTCCTTACATTGGGGGTCAGTGTAGGGCCCCTTGTACATTGTGGTCAGTGTAGGCCCTTTCGTTACATTGCGGTCAGTGGAAGCCCCCTCGTTACATTGGGGGTCATTGTAGGGCCCCTCGTTACATTGCGGTCAGTGTAGGCCTTTTCGTTACATTGCGGTCAGTGGAAGCCCCCTCGTTACATTGGGCGGTCAGTGTAGGGTCCCCTATTTACATTGGTGGACAGTGATGGGCCCCTCATTACATTGTGGTCAGTGTAGGGCCCCTCATCACATTGGTGGTCAGTGTAGGGCCCCTCCTTACATTGGGGACAGTGTAGGGGCCCCTCCTTACATTGGGGGTCATTGTAGGGCCCCTTGTACATTGTGGTCAGTGTAGGCCCTTTCGTTACATTGCGGTCAGTGGAAGCCCCCTCGTTACATTGGGGGTCAGTGTAGGGCCCCTCGTTACATTGGGCGGTCAGTGTAGGCCTTTTCGTTACATTGGGGGTCAGTGGAGGCCCCCTCGTTACATTGGGCGGTCAGTGTAGGGTCCCCTATTTACATTGGTGGACAGTGATGGGCCCCTCATTACATTGTGGTCAGTGTAGGGCCCCTCATCACATTGGTGGTCAGTGTAGGGCCCCTCATTACATTGGGGTCAGTGTAGGCCCCCCCCCCGATTACACTGTTGGTCAGTGAATTGTCCATTTTATTAACAGTTGGTGTAATGCTCCCCAAGTTATGTTGCTGATCATCATAGCGCCCCCCCCCCCCCCCCCCTACATTGGTGGTCGGTCCATAACATTGGTAGTCAGTGTAGGGCCGTGATTGGATTATCTGGCAAAATCCATCTTGGCCTGTATGTGTTCTCCTCAGTAGGTTTGGTCTGGATGCATTCACAAGTTCTTGGAGGCTCCTGCAAACCTATATGCAGTATGTGTATATACACCGATCAGCCGTATCTCTATGACCACCCACCTAATACAGAGTAGCTCCCCCTTTTGCTACCAAAGCAGCCCCCGACCCATCGCGGCATGGACCTCACTACACCTCTGAAGGTACGCTGTGGTATCGGCACCAAGCCGTCAGCAGCAGATCCTTTAAGTCCTGTAAGTTGGGAGGTGGCGCCTTCCTGGATCAGACTTGTTTTTTCCAGCACATTCCGCAGATGATCATTTGGATTGAGATCTGGAAAAGGTGGAGGTCAAGTCAACACTTCAAACTCGTCATGTTCCTCAAACCATTCCTGAATTCATCTGACCAGGCCACATTCTTCCATTTCTCTGTGGTCCAGTTCTGAGGCTCACGTACCCATTGAAGGCACTTATGGCTTTGGACACGGCTCAGCATGGGCCCTCTGATTGGTCTGCGGCTACACAGCCCCATACACAACAAACTGTGATGCTCCATGTGTTCTGACACCTTTCTATCAGAACCAGCATTCACTTTTTCACCGATTTGAGTTCCAGTGGCTCTTCCATTGGATTGGACTACACAGGCCAGACCAGACATCGGTGAGCCTTGGCTGCCCATGATCCTGTCACTGGTTGGCCAGTTCTCCTTCTTTGGACCACATTTGGTCGGTCCTGACAACTGCAGACCGGGAACATCCCATAAGAGCTGCAGGTTTGGCGATACTCTGACCCAGTCGTCTAGGCATTACAATTTGGCCCTTGTCAAAGTCCCTCAAATCCTTACAGTTGTCTATTTGTTTTCTGCTTTCAGCACATCAACTTCAGGGACAACATGTTCACTTGCTGCCTAATATATACCAACCACTATCAGATGGAAATCAGTGTTATTCACCTTACCTATCAGTGGTCAGAATGTGTGTATATATATATATGTGTGTGTGTGTGTGTATATGTGTGTGTGTGTGTGTATGTATGTATGTATATATATATATATACACAGCATGTAGTGTATGTTTCCGGACTGAACCATAAGTCCTGGATTTGGCAAACATTCAATAAAGTATTTTATTACAATTCATGGAATCATTCCACCACTCATAGACAGTCAGCACAGATATCAGCGGAGGGAAAATCACACAGATATTCATGTCTGTGATGCAGATCGCTGTGTGTGTTCCAGGTTGCTTCTGCTGTGCGATGGAGACTGGCGTGAGAATCTTCAACATCGAGCCTCTGATGGAGAAAGGACACCTCGGTGAGGAATACAGTTCCAGAAGCTGACCCAGGATCGTCTTCCCATCACTGACCATTGTGTTCTCTACCAGATCCTCCTATCCCGTCAATGACCATTGACTTCACCCTCAGAGCCTCCCATCCCATCACTGACCATTGTCTTCTCTCCCAGAACCTCCCATCCCGTCACTGACCATTGTCTT